TGTGCAGGAAAAACAGACCCCCAATCCCATGCTGCACCCCCAGTGCAGGTGACAAGGTGGCCTCCCTGAGCACAGGGACACGCTGATGTGCGGGAGCAGCACAGGACTTTTCACTTTTATTATAAAAATATCTTGCAAGCAAAAAGAAAAAAAAAAAAAAGAAACAAACAACAAAAAAAGTCTGTACAAGCAGTCACATTGCTCCCAAAGCATCCCCAGGTCCCCTCAGCCCCCTGCCAGCTGCCAGGGGGGGAGCCCCACGCATTTCCTCTGCTGCAGGAGGCAACACAGGGTGAGACCCTGCACGTTGGCCCAGAGAGGGGCACATGGAAGAAGACATTTGTCCTCACGAGTGGCCTGGGGGGAGCCTGCCTGGCCCCTAAGACAGAGCTGGGGAGCGGGGCATGTTAAGTCTCTTATAAACTCTGTAGGGGTTGGAGGGTCTTTACTGAGGCCTCGTTCTTAATCTTGCACATCTTATTCTAGTGTTAAGTACACAGCAGTACACCCACGTACAACACAAAACATCGGGGGGGAGTTCAGCTCTAAAAATTAACAGTTACATGTCAAAACAGTCAAAACATATTACATGGTACCTGCGGGGAGCTCCCGGGGCGGGGAGCCAGGCTGGGGGGACCCCCGCACGCTTTGTACAAGCCTGGGGCAGCGCTGGTGGGTCCCGGTGCAGGGCAAGGCTGTGCAGAGGAAGATGATGATGATGATGATGATGATAAGGATACTTGGTGCTGGGGAGCCAGACCTGGAGCCCCGCTGGACGGCAGGGTGGGGGCTCGGCTCGATGGCCTTCCAGCCTCTTGGCCTTGGGGCGAGACCGAGGTCCCGCAGAAGGGACACTTGGGAAGAGAGGCGGACGCTTCGGTCCTTCCTTTAAAGCCAGAGTGTGGTGTCCAGGCGTGGTGGCAGAGCCCCAGAAGGCAGTGTGGGGGCCCTGCTGGTCCCGGGGAGCCGTGGGCCAGGCAGTGGCATCCCCATGAGAGCTGGTGTGGAGGCACTGTACCTGTCCCCTCAGCCCAGCTCGAGCTTCCCAAGGAGCTGCTGCTCCGCTGGCTGAACCCGCTCGTGGGCAAACCCGGCACACTGAGGCTAAGCGACCCCCGAGGGGGGTCCCGAGGGGATGGAGCCGGCAGCCCTAAGACCAAGCTGGCCCCAAAAATCAGGTCTCTGTGGATGGGAGATGACCCCCACAGTATCACGGGCTCCACTTCCGTCCTAAAACACAGGTACCGCAGCGCATCTTCACATCGCTCCCAGTGCTTCCAGGAGAACCCTCCCGGGGAGGAGCAGAGCTGCCCCCCGTGGGACAGGGGGTCCCAGCAGCCACTGCTCACTTCCTGGGGATCTGGACGCTGGCGTACTCAGAGCTGGCCTCCTCGGGGCGCGGGGCCGGCCGCTTGGGCGCCTTGCTGAGATGCACCATGTCCAGGTCGGCGTAGGTGAGGTTGTCGTCGCCGCCGTTGGGGGCCTGGCTGGTCTGGATGCAGGCGTACTCCGACTGCTGGCTCATCTCCACCATCCGGCGGATGGTCTTCCTCTCCTTGTCAAAGTTCAGGTCTGCATAGGTCAGGTTGTTGGGGTCGGATTCCTGTGCGAGACACAGAGAGTTCCTCCTCTGGGAGGACAAGCCAGGATCTCCCTGGACCCACCACCCACTCGCCAACCCACAGCTCCACGCTGGAATCAATCCCACTGCAGCCTGTCCTGGGACACCTCAGTCCCCCTGTGCCAGCAGCCACCATCCTGCAGCCACGCTCTACCCCGTGCTACAGCTTCAAATCGTGAGCCACCCTGTCCTGGGAGGGGTGGGCTTCAGAGCCACCACTGAAGCTGCTCCGTCCCCCTGTCCCAGCAGGGCCAGCCTGCCCAGCAATGCCCACGCGGGAGCCGCCAGAGCCTGGGTGGGATGGACAGATTGCTGCTGATCACGATTTAGCTCGCAGCTGCGTCACCAAATGCAAAACAACTCCACAAATAGCCTGGCTGGCTATCGCACAGCTGGTTCTCCAGGCAGCACAAACCCAGACTTCACTGGGAGGAAGAGGAGGAGGGAGGGCGAAGGCAGGAGAGACGCTGGGAAGCGGCTACCCCGTTCCTGGGGCAGCTTCCCTTCCATCTCTGGCCACAGTGTGGAGACACCAAGAGGTTTCACTGGGGAACCACCACCCTCCACTGGAGACACTGAGATGTTTCACTGGGGAACCACCACCCTCCGCTCCCATCTCCGGTGTCTCTCAGCCACTCTCCCCCCACAGTCCCACAGGGTGAATGGACCCACCTGGGTCGTGGCCTCGCTGCTCTTCTCCGGCTCATGTAACCTGGAAGGGGGAACAAAACCAGACAGACAGACTGAGTGCCCTGTTGCCTCCCCGGTGATGGAGCAGCTGGGGAGATCAGATGCAAACCAAAGACCTTGCAGCCGCACCCAGCAGGATGGGTCCTGAGTGATTGCCCATGTGCTGGTCCAGCTGCCTCTCTGCTGGTCAGAGACCAGCTCCCACATGCCTGCTCAACCCCACCACAAGCCAAAAATCACCATGGGGACAGAACCCCAGCCAGGGAGGTGGGTAGAGCCCATGCTCCTGCTTTCCCTTTCACAAGTTTTGGGGGTCCAGCTCTGTCCCAGTCCTGAGGGACTCTGTTTGTGGGCCAGAGGTGTCCAGCTCAGAGTGCCCACAGGATACCCAGTGACTAGAGAAGAACTGCACTCACCTGGCAGTTGGTGAGCTTTTACCTGCTGGAAGAGAAATAGTTTAGGAAAGAAATAATCCAGGAAACAACATAACCCCCCCCCCATTTCCCCAGGCATGGAGCAGAGGCTGCTACAAGGGCAAGGAGACATCTCTTCCCAGAGGCAAAT